GTAGCATGGGGTACATCTTTACCTAAATATAGAAAGTTAAAAATATTAAAATCAAAATCATCTCTTTTATAGTAGATTTTAGTTACTTTAGTATTGTTAATGATAGAAATGTTTAACTCTAAAAAGATGTAATAACGTCTGAAGAGTTAGTTTTATTCAATTTAAGTTCACTGGGATATAATTTAGAAACCAATTTATCGAAATAAGGATAATTAATTTTAAGGATATCATCTAGGTAGCGGAAAGTGTTATTAATTGCATGTTTAATTTCCTGATTCGAAGTGGGGTAAAATCCCTCTCATAGCAGTAAAGAAATAAATCAGCTACCAGGGGTGCAAAATAAGTTCCCATTGGAATGCCTATTATCTGTTTGAAAGCTGTACTTTCAAACCTGACATCAATGTTATCTAATAAAAACGTAAGTCACATCGACATTGTATATTGTTAAATGATATCATTTGTAAAGAAAGCCATCTTTGAATTGCAAGCAAGAAGACCGCCTCCGTGGTCGAAGGGTTAGAGTCGATGACTTCTGATCCAGTTACCTCTCTGGCGTGGGTTCGATCCCCGGTAGATGCTTTGGTAGTTTAGCGCGGAAGAAGGTAGTCTAGTACTGGTGTAACTCTCCAGAAACGATGGCTAGGAAACTACCCGCCTATGTGACTGAAATACTGTTGGAAAAAGGCGTAAAATGAAACAAATAAACAAACAAACAAGCAAGCAAGAAACGTGACCTTTTCTCTTGCAAATGTTTTTTGAATTAAAAATAATAATTTATCATTAATAAGATTATGTGGCAATGTTGTATATAGGGTAGAGAAATCGTAAGTATTTACAGATGAAGCTTGATAATTCTTAATTTTAAACTTATCTAAAATTTCAGTTGAATTTTTTTAACAGACCAAAGAAGATGTTTGCCCGTATTTTTTTTAAAGTTGTTTCACAGTATCTAATGACATGTGCCTTGATGACAGAAAGACAAGAAATCAATAAAATAGAAATATTACTGGTAGTACAAGATGTAGAATTTGCAATGAAACGGGCTTTATATGGATGTTTATGTAATTTTGATATCCAGTACATGATAGGAAGTTTAAGCTCTTAAAGTCATGCATAACCTAAATATTTAAATAACCATAGCACTTTGAAGAAAAAAAAATGTATTGAAAATTACCGAAAGTTTGTTTATATATTTTTTATGTTTATCTGACTTACACATTTATATTCTGGCAGGAAATTCCTTAAATGAATAACTACACTCACTTCTTTTATATCCTAAATCAAATAACGTATTGTTTTATAGTTTTAATGTCTTATAAACGTTTAAGGTACATATACATTTACATTTCATATAATAAGCTCTTTCATACTCTTTTTTATCATTAAAGTTCTGATATATAATGAGAACACAATCAAACCTCTGAAAAAAAATTCTTTTCTAGTACATATTAAGTAAATGTTTTTTAATCAATCAACCAATTTGAGTTGTCCGTATCGAAGTAAAAGAACAAAATTATATGTTTTATATATTTTTGAACTTGAAGCATATTGTGTATATATTGAATGTCTTTTTATTTCCCTTAATATATCCGAATTGCAAAAACTTACGCTTAAAAAATAGAGAAAATATCATTTCTTTCAAAGAAATATTGATACTTAATAAGACCTTTTTTAACATAAAAAATGGAAAATATTAAAAAACAATAATATTATGCTTTTAAAGAAAAAATGCAAAGTATTAAAAAACAATAAATTGTGCTTTTCTTCATAATCTCCGTAAACCGAAATTTGGCATGATTCCGTCTACAACTTACATAATGTTATCATATATTGTTCTATTTTAAATATCTCTGATTGTGACGGAATCAATACATTGTATGTATGTACGTGGTCCCTATATTTACTACCATTACTATTACAAATGTAGATATTGAAAGTCAGCATGAGTTCGGGACTTTGGTTGCTCTCAAAGGTTTTTTGACACAATGAAAATGAATCATTTATTCTTTTATGATATATTTTGCATGTATATTTTAAACTCTTATGTACCAGGATGCTTAATTATTTAAGTACCTGTAATCGACGATGTTAATGACAAGATTCTCTTTGATTTTATGTACAATACAATAGCAATGTTGAGAAGCAATATCTTTTCCAAGCAGTGAGACATGTAAAGTGTCATTGTTATTTATCGTAGCTTCAAAAGGTGAAAACGTGTCACGTATCTGTATATAAAAATATGAAAATACTGACTTAAATAAGATATGAGGGTCGATACGAGGGTCAATACGAGGGTCATTTAATAGGTTCTGTCACTGGGTTCAATATTTGTAACTGCTACGTTCAATTATTCCCCTCTAAGGAAATGTATATTAGTAATTCCTCTGTTAAGTTTCGAAAACCTATAAAAAACAATCTTCTTTTGTAATCTGTCGTAGACATTGAGTAATTCTCGGACGTATTTTTTTTAAAAAAAGCTATGGAAAAAGAAAGAAGTCGCAGGGACTTAAGTGAGGAGAATAAGACGGATGGTTTATAACTTTAAACTTTTCAGACGACAAGAAAGTTTTAACAATCACGAGAGGATGCATTGGCATGTATAAAACTCCTACCTAACGGCCCTTTACTTTGACGCTTCTTATTATAAAATACTTTTCAGTACAGATTTCTAGATAAAATATCAAGTGACTGTGTAAACTGATAAAATAGGCAATTAAACAACTGGTCGGCTGGAATTAAAAAAAAATCGCAAACAACACATTCTTTGTATTGATGGTTCTTCTGCAAATACAGGACCATTGTTGATCTTTTCGCAACTACTGTTTGTTATCGGAACTTTTTTGAGACTCAGACATTTGTACCCAATTTTCATAGTCTTTTGCCGGGTCGTGTGGGGGTGGCGTTCATTGAACGCAGCCTTTCCTTGTTGATCTTTTTTATCATATTTTGTATGATTTCGGAAGTTCTTATGTCGCTGTTTCTTTTGCCCAATAGTGAACAAATGGGGTACCCACCTAGAGCAAACCTTACATAGGTCCAATATGTGGATACTGCCTTCTGATATGCCATATCAATTTGCTACATTTGTATTTTCTTTACTTGAATTCTTGCCTCCTGTTCTACTATAACCTATACAGAAGTAATATTTGTCTTGACAATCGGGGGTTAAAGGCCTTCCTAAACGGTATTCATTTTTGACAGACAATTCTCTGACTTTTAAGAGCGTTGACCCACCTAAAGATTGTGCTCTTTCAAATGACCTTAGTCCAATCTATTTGCCACAAACGTAACTATATATCAAACCTATTGCGACATTTAATGTAGCTTCGAATTTCAGTTTGTTTGTTTTTTGTCCAGTGTACAATATGGTCAATGAATTGGTTAATGTATATAATTGCATGTATTTCCAGTCATGGCATAAAACGAACCGTTAAAGGTAACTATTAAACATCATTAAGTTAAATGAAACGTTTTAAAATACTATCAGGATATAACTACGGAAACTTATTAGCGAAATAACTAATCGAATGATTCTCGTAGTAATACCTTCATAACTATGTATTTCATCGATTTTAATTTTGAAAATTCTATAATAAAAACTCTTTCCAAAAGTTCACACGAAATTACTTCGATTATCTATTTATGGATTGTTTCCAAGTCCAGTTTATTTATGTTGTAAATAAGCCGATAATATATCATTTTTTACGAACGGAGAAGTAGTGTATGTTTAAGTTTTTAAATAAAACTCTACGGAAGAATAAAAAGAAAACCGATATTATAAACCGAAAGATGTCATCAATTGATGAATATAAAGAAGCATTAGTCATTCGTGCTGTAAAACGACATACCCCAATTGATGGTTATTTATACTGTTTCAAATTTTCAGCAAAAACTTATTTCCCTGAGAACATAACTCGTAGACATTGTTCCTTCGGATGTAAGTTGAAAGATTCTTAAAATAGTATCTACACGATTTAAATTAAATTTCAGTTCATGTACAACTTTTATTTTTAATCATAATTTATCAAAATTAACTCAAGTCTAAAGAGAAGTTGGAAAATTGAGCAATTGAAACTAAATTGAGCTGTCAATAATAAAAATGGCAAAGAACATATTGGCTGTGAATGTTTCTCGGGATATTATTTTTTTAATTTCGGTAATAAATGGATGGTTATCTTGTTTTGATCAGCAATTTTAGGTTATATTAATTCAAGTTGCCCTGTATAAGAAAAAGATCCTTGAGATCGATCGAAAAACGAAGTAAATAATCTTATTGTTTCGAGTCGTTTTAATAAAGCATGATATAACTACATGTATTATATATCATAAGGAATGTTTTTAAAGACTAAGATACAAGAATCAGGTCTAGTTAAGCAACAGGAAAATAGTGGTTACAACATATCACGTCCCGGTATTTGTTTTTCATAGACGTTGCTGACAATGAAATGATGTCACTGTTTAATACGCTGGGTGGTAAAGTTATTTTCGTGTTCAAAACACTGAACTATCAGTAAATTTTTGATCATCGTACCATTTAAAGGTTTGTCCGAATTATACCTGTACTCGTACCTAGCTTTTTCCCAAGGGAAACATTTCGTGTAATAACTCAACGCCGCCGCCGCTAAACATGTACTACATTCTTGCGGTACAATTACTCCACTATTTCTACACAGAAAACAAAACATTTACAACCCTATTACCATTTAGCCCAAACTACATGCATCTCACAAGTATTGTTCTATTTTAACGGTATAAAACAATACAACAAAAAAGATGTACATTTTTTCTTTGTTTGAAGGTTCAACATAATTAACATCGGATAGATAAAACACATCAGACAATAGTCAATCAACAGTCTTGATCAGATCTAAATATCATGTCAAACTTCCTTAAAAATTGTAGCCAACTTTGAAATAATAAGTTGAATCTTATCATGATTTCTTTAGATATGTTAAACAAGTTTATGTCAGTAGGTTTTGTAACAGTTTTGTGTCTCTTACATTGATTACAGTGTTGTCATATGATTGACAATGAGGGGACCGAGACTGGATATTATTGTGTTATATTGCATAATGGAGTTATTTCCCAAATTACGTGAGTTAATTTACATTTTGAACTGACAGAGTGCTTTAACGGTACTTTCATGGTTTTTAATTCATCAAACAGAATTCTGCATATATAATGGTTACATTTATTTCTATGATATTGTGTTTAATAACAAATCAAAAGGTATAAATCTATGTATTTTAACCCGATTGCTTATCTTTAATTGCTTATTTGGTCAAAAATTGTCCTCTTTTCATTGAGGATTTACCCTACAAACTGTTATATGGAGAAATTTAAGACTGCGTGCAGGAATTTCATTTGTATTTAAGTTTTAGTGGTTTTAAGCCTATCGGGCAGATGCTTTTCTACGTTACGCCATGTGCACTCTTTTATGACGTAGCTAAATCCTCACATCACAGTGAACATGAAGAATGAAATAAAATGTATTGGGAGTTGTTAAGCTGGCTACTCCAGCAAAATGTACAGTTACTGTTCGTGTTAAAAATGATATCTACAAATATTCTGACAATAGAAAAAAGAATCGACAGAAATGTTATAAATTAAGCGGAAACTTTTCAGTATTTTTTTATTTATTACCGTCGCATCTAGTGCCTTATGTCTTGAAATATTGTTTTCATTCTGAGCTTATATCGTGTAAAAATGCACTCGATTGTTGACTCTGTTTTATAAAGGAATCGTGTGATGCATGTTTGAATATATTTTTCTTACATGTTGAAATAGTGCATGCTTCACATAATCATGCATATTTCACGTACGATGGCTTAAACATGTATTTTTGAAACATTTTCTATTCATGTTTGATGTGCTCTTTTCATCCGCATTCAAATAGAGATATCGTTCGGATATTTTGAATAAAGCGTTAGTAATTTCACGATTACATTATCAAATCATGATGTAACCCTCTGAAAAGTGTGTAATATATATTACATCTAGTCAAAAAATGTCTACTGACACATTGATTGTCAATGATAAAAGAAATTTATAGCAAAATCATAGGATTAACTTGTAGATTTAGTTTTCTTATTCTTTTCAGATTTGGCATGTGAAGATATAGCAATACGGAATCATACATTTCCAGGATATTATTATCATTACAATAATGTAAGAGATTTATACTCCTGGCATAACATGTCATTTTGGGGAGGTCAATTTCAAATGCCGTCAATAAACAGTATCGAAACTGAGTGTTTCAGAGGAACTGGCAATGTATTAGCATTGAAAGGTATAAGTGAGCCGCGTCATGACAACACCAACATAGTGGGTTTGCGACCTGCATGGATCCAGACCAGTCTGCGCATCCGCGCAGTCTGATTATGATCCATGCTGTTCGCTATCAGTTTCCCTACTTGTAATAGAGTTGGTAAGTGGACAGCATTGATCCTGATCAGACTGCGCGGATTCGCAGGCTGGTCTGGATCCATGCTGGTCGCAAACCCACTATGTTGGTTTTGCCGTGACGCGATTCAAATGTGGTTATCTTTTATTTACATGAAATTTCTCACACGTCATTGATTTTGACGAAAAAAAAGCTTTGTAATGGAACATAATGTTTGAGTGCACCGCTTTTTTATACAGCCTGTGATAAATATGAGAGAGAGAGGGAGAGAGGGAGAGAGAGAGAGACCATTATAAGATGATTGGGCCTTTATTTGTTTTGGAAACTCATTGCCATTTAGTCCTCAAAAGGTATTAAGTACAATAGCTTCACTGTATGTTATTGTCGCGATATATTTTTCGGTGGGCATTATCTTATTGGCTTTATGGCTACATTGTTTGAAGTAACCTTACAACAGCATTTAGACAAACGTAGACTTGGATACGAAATTCGATGACTCATAATGATTTATCAATATTAAGACATACTGTATTACCATTTTAGAAAACTATATGTAATATGTGTTCTTTGCATCGAATTTTTTGGATTTTTTCAGGTGCACACCCTCAATTAACGACATTGAATGAAAACATTAAGATGTACACTTTATGCAGTGTCAATCAGGAAAGGGTTTGTGAAATGGAGATAGGGAATATTGAGATGAGAAAATGCCACGGTATTCTACTATACAGAATCCCTACCTTAGATTTCAGTAATCTCGATATAACAGCACAATTTTATTGTTTCGGTATGAATAATTTACTTTTTAAGGAGTTATAGCAACAAGTAATGAAAATATATTGCACACCTAATTTAACGTAACTATTGACTTTCTAGCATCTGCACCATTTGAACTTTCAATATAAATTATTATTGAATCAAACATTATGAATTAAGTCTCATTTTCAATTTCTGAGTCCGAAAAATCCTTTATCAAGTGAATTGTTTACTCCAGCTATCATCGTTTACATTTTCAGAGTCCAAACAAATCCATTTCAAATCACTGTTATACTTCCCCAAACCCTGTTTTGATTTTCAGAGTTCAAAATATCCATATAAAATCCTTATTTTACTCAAAGAAAAAGTACTTAAGATGTTTCAGATATTTAATTAGACCATGGGTTTCCGAATATACAATATACGAGTATACGAGCGTATATTAAATATAACTGACATTAACTTATAAACTTATTATTTCCCATTTAATAAACATTGACCGGTTTCTATATCATCACGCCAAATAAACATGCTATCATGTTAACAGCTTCAATTGACATTATTTGTGTACATATTTGTACGAAATGTTAAAAATGTCGCCGTCATTAATTTTTAATATCAAAACATCAACAAAAATACAAGTTTTTGATACCCTAGCTGATATTTCAGAATTTTAGAATTTATAAAAAGTTATAAATTATAAAGTACTGTTGCGACAACATCTAAATGTGTACCTTAATTAATTTGTGTTATCGATTGAACTCTTATTTGCTGTTTATGAAAGGTTATTCTGTTTGTTTTTTTATTTATCACAAGTTTGACCGATATAAATATTCTCCACACCCATTACATTATAATTATTCATACATACAGTACATTTTTGTTGTACAAACCATTTCTTCTTTTATATTGAATGTTTTTCTTTAATTTTTAATGAATACAAGTATATCTCTATTATATAATCACACAGGCCATATCGTGGATCCTTGCTTCTAGATACTTTAAGACTAGTTTTGTTCTCTTCAAATTTAGATTTGATAAGTACATGTTTGAAATTAAGGTTTGCACTTAATTATTAATTTTGTGTACTGTTTATATCGATTTTAAGATCGTTATCGCTATCAAGAATTTCCAAAGTATTTTAAGCATTCCAAATACAATTCGTTTCTTGTGGTTATGTGTAGAAAGATGTGACAAAATGGGTATATTTACGTAAAGTAAAGTTTATTCAAATCTTAAAATACATATACATATCAAGATCATCCATATGTTAATGACACTGGTCTTAATAAAATGATCTGAATTATCATACAAAAAAATCTAGGATTGGAACGAAATGTAGTTTTCAATGGTTTTAACGTGCAAACTTCTTTTAAGTAATTTCGTTTGGAAACAGAGACCTTAACATAAATACAATAGACACATTAAAATATATATAAAGTAGAATTAATCAGTTACGTTATACTGATATAAACTTACAAAGATAAAAAACTTGATGTTTTATTATTTCAGAACGAAAGTACTTTGCATGTAAGTTTTTGATTATAGTTACTATTTGTGTGTGAATTGTTGACTTATAAGTGATACATATGTAAAAATGTATTTAAATCAATCTAAATGCTTGAAATATTAAATTAATTACTTGACATTGACCGTCGTGAAACTGTGTTTCAAATGTATATTCTGCATAGAAAATTATACAATTATAAATCATTTAGAATGTTTTTCGTCTATTATATCATCCAGCATGTGACGTCACAACAACGGTTTATTCTGCAACAAATGAAGACGAAAAATTCGTTCATTTTCAAAGAGGAGGGTTACAGTTCGGCTGGTTTAATGCCTATATCAATGGAAAACAATTCGTACCCCCGTCGATTGATGAGCTAAACGGAATTTTTTCACAATGTTTGGTACACGGTCGTGGCTTTGCTTTGCTAGGTTGGAAATATTTATTTATTTATTTATTTATTTATTGGTTTGCTTGAAATATTCATCATACAGTTATACACGCTATCATAATTATTTATGATCCTATGTACATGTATGAAATTAATTAAAGGCTCCAATCAAGAATAGTAATGTTTTTTTTTTCTGAATGAAATATATTTGGATACGTATATAACATTAGACTTTATACAAAAATGTGTTTTGTAGACGTTCCGAAATGAAAAACGTGATTTAGAAAAAAAAACATTCAGACATTATACATGTACATTTATATATTATAGTTTTATAGTAGAGTTAATTATATTTTAGAAAGCATTCTTACTTGATGACGAAATGGGCTCGAAGGGAATAAACACCTGTTTGATGTTTTAAACCTTTTTTAAAACTGTTCGTACAAAGATAGGTTGTCTATAACATTAACATTGTGATCGTTTTATGTTAAATTACAGTGTATAAACTTAAAATATTTAGAAAATAAAATACAAACCAATTTACACGGTTATGATCTGTGAAATCTGCTCCTTCTGTATCCAGAATATTCTTCGCATGGTTTTGACAATGTGCTTTTACAAAACAACGATGATATCCTATATCTGTACAGAGTATCTGTAATCTTTCGCTGATTAAAATTGTTAAATAATCCTTAACTCGTCTGCATGATCCAGTTTGACACATTATTATTCACATTACAATTACTTCCGAATAAAACGGATGTTTACTTTTTAACTATTCAACAAAAAATATTCTATAAGCGAAAGGTACTCCAGGGTGCAAACATCTAAATTTTATCGGTGATAATAGTAACTCTGGTGATGCCCTATCGTGGTGAACTTCGAAAAAATAAGAATGAATTGAGAGAAAAAAATGGCAGCCATTTTATTTTATTTCATTTAGAAAGTAGACCACGTGACTAGATTTTATACTGTTAAAAAGCACTGTTACCCTGCAACAGTATAAAATTCTTAGTCACGTGGTTCACTTGCATTTACTGTAAGAATAACTCCCAGAGGGCCATTGGAAATTAACCTTATTACGAAAAAAGTGAAGTGGTAATAATACCTTATATGATTTTTTTTCTTTTGCACTTTTTCTTTTCGGACAAAAATGATTTTCAAAACAATAATCAGTAATAGGTCCTTGTGTTTCACGAAAGGTATACATTAACTGAAGATTCTCGTGGATATTTGTTTACCACAATGCTTTCTCTATATTTAACAATTGCTAATGATAGAATATAAAAACAACTTTTAAATAGAAAATGCTAGTTAATGTGTTACTGATAAACCTACTAATTGGAAAAGATATTGTTAACAACCAGTATAAAATATCCTTAATGTCCCTAGTACATAATGCACAAATCGATATTTATATTTTGAAAAAAGTCATGCAATGCGTCAGTTAGGCATCATCTATAAATATTCTTTTTAACCTTTCGAAAAATTTCATCCTGAAAAAAAAATGTTATAAAAAGATAAAGTCACTGTCAAGATATACATTGAAACGTAACAATTTAAACATTAATTTCAGAGCCTGTTCCAAGGTTGGAAGAAAATATTCCACTTAGACTCAGAATATGTTACATCTCCGACAAAAATGATATTTCTGATTGTTACAGTTCTCACGAAGATAAAGACATTGATGAAAATTATATTCACGCCAGAAATTGTAAAGGAGAAATTCAGTTCGATTTTAACCTCATAAAACTGCGTGATTGGAACGAACTCATATGTCTTGGTAAACTCTGTTTGACATTAACCCTTCACGTACTAGAAATTGACGTCTGCTTAATATGTAGTATGAAGATTTTTTAAAGCTCTTGCTCAACTTTCTCGAAATAAGGAAAAATGTCAGGGCAATTGCCAAACAAGTTGGTATCTTATTAAAAGCTTTGGTACCCAGAGCCAAACTTGTTGCATTGGCTAATGTAATCGCTCCAGGCAAGCAAAACAAATACATGTACTTAACAATTTCTTACAACAGATTGTTGCTATAATTTATCTTAACAAAATTTGTAATATTGTCATTTTTTTCTTCAAAATATTCATTACATCAAATTGCCAACAATTTTTATATAACCACTGAAAAATACATTCATTGTGCTGGGGCCGCTACAAAGCTGTTTGATAGATACTGAGAGTCTTGCGAATTCATACACATATCGCTCATTCATCTTTGTAGTCATTGCTTTAGAAAAAACTTATTTTACAAAACCCATGTACCCATGCACAATCTTATCTAAATTTATCTATTTCTTGATGTCATGTTCGTAATGTTTCTTATGCTGCTCTTTTCATTTGGATTTTGAAAAACAAGACACGTCAAGCATGCACTATTTATTGTATATCATGAAAAAGGCGTTATCGCGTTAGAGCCATTGCCCTTAATTGGTTATCCATTTTCAAATTTTAAACAAAGGTCGTTGAAATAAATGCTAGTCATCTAATTTTGTTAACCAAAAAAATGACAAATTCTTAATACAATGTCTATGATTTTTACAGATATTAGGTGGTGCTTCTTTAATTTTAAGTATTGCATTAAAACATACATTTGCAAAGCTAAGAATAAAGGCAGCGATGTCTAACAAGAAAGAGATAAAAGTACAGTGTAGTCAGAGGCCTTTCTATAATTGTCTCTTGCTTATAACATTATTATTGTAATCACTAAAACGATCATCTATTTTGTTTGAGTTACAAGTTATTTGTTTCAGTTCATCAGAGTTCTGTGAAGCCAGAAATTGTTCATAACATAACATATTACAAACAAGATGACAATACTTTAAATTTCTACAGTCCTTTCTTACAATACAGGTGTGTTTTTCCTGTAAATGATGACGTGCTCTATAGAATAAATTGGTAAGTTTATAAATATTGATAAATGAAATCTGTAAAAAATGAATTGACCTTTCGAAAAATAAAAATATCTTTGACTGGCGTTGCACATCTTTTATTTGGAATGTCCATCTTTGAGGGTCAGTTAAATGTAAAAAGAAAGTTATCTATGACTCGTTTAATTAGTAATGAATTGGACAGACCTGAGAATAATTTGCATTCTTATAATGTAAAAGGTTTTTTTTAAACTAAGATACAATATATTCTATATGCTCTTGACACTGT